TGACGGGAAAATTATCATCAAGCTGGAAACGAGCTCATTTCATGGAAGAAGTAGTCCTCAGCGATTCACCAAAAAGTTGGTGTAAGTTGGCCATAGATAGAGTCTAATGATGACTGACGTGTGGACAAGGCCCTCCTCGGAGCCAACTCCGGGGTACCTGAAGGACACGGCAGGTGGGCGAAAGTGATTAATGAGACCTTATTGTAGCGCCACATGCGGTCTACCCTCAGTAGACATGGTGAGAATACTAAGCCCGCGATATGTCGGTCTTCCTTTTCCCGCTATTGACGTGAGTTTCTTCCCATCGCCTCGCACGATAGTAAATTACAGCTCTCGGTTAATCTTTGTGGGTCCTAGAGCAGAATCATTCGGTTCGGACGCGTGCTTTCGAACTATTACACTTTAGTTGGTGCCAAATGACTCTTGTCAGGTGCATCTCTTCTTGGTCCGAATCCTCCATTGATAATAGGATTGAGACATTGCAGACGAGAAGAGGAAGCATGATCTTGATTCATCTCCCCCTTTTCCTTAGAGTTTACTGTTACAACGTGGCGTTCAGGCCAGATTGCTATGCAAAGACAATAAAACTACCCCGTGACGTGGCCACCAGGCTATGAACGTAGACGGAGCTTCTTCGGAGCATTTGCACTGTGTGAACCACTGGTTGAAGTCAACGGGATATCGTGTTTGCTCCGAGCTCGATGGACAGGTTTCAGCCAATTGAGCGTAAGTTTGGGCATATCTGCTCATCCATGTAGCAACAGCTATGGGCGCCGGTCAGGACTCACTAGTCTCAGCCTGGCATACTCCATCAAGCTATGAGCAAAGGAGTTCCTTGCTTCTGCATGAACGGCTGCTCCCCGGGAGTATATTTGCTTCGGAAAGGAACAAAATGACGTATGTTGGTTGCAGACATGCTACTCCAAGCCTTCTAGAAACATCCGTAGCTTCACTCATTGATCATCTACGTTTCTGGATGTAGACGGGTGTAGAGTCATAAAGCAGAGCAGCCATAGAGACAGAGATGTGACGCCTTTGCATCAAGATGCCAAACGTTGAGAGAGTCTCAATTAAAGAGCCACGGTCATGGAACAATAGCTTTGTTAGAAATGACCTTTGGAGAACCCAGCCACATGTCAATCGTCGCGGAAAATCGTCACAAAGCCGCAGATGCTCGAGAGAGACAACAACGGCAGTACCATGCCACATTGAGGCAAGGCGGCAAATCAGATGCCACTCGGGAGGAAGGGGCAATTGAGTTTAGCGACGGCGGTCCGGGGTTAGGTGGCGAACGGGATGGTAGTAGTATAGATGGGATGCCTGGCGTCTGCCGCGGCGCGGCCACAACCGCACGCCGCGTTGCCGCGACATCTCGTGATTGTGTCAATGAGGAAACGGCAGAGACATTTGAGGAAACCCGAGCTTCGTTGACGTTGACCTGCGTGGCTCCATGCGACGATCGGCATCGTGGGCTAACGATTGACACCCGCGGTCGGGATTCAGGCACGCCGTACGCCGCGCGACGTTGACAGACAGGTGAAGAAACGAAAGTGAAATGACGAGCAGCCATTTTGGCATGTGATTTCCCATCTATGGACCCTGGCAGTGGGGGGGCGAAGTGGGAAGATTGGAGTGCCAATGGTGCATTGCATCTAATCTTGGATCGTTTTTATTTGTTTGGGTCCCCGCCCAAGAGGAATCCACTTTTGGACTCAAACATTGGAACTGTGGACACGGGGAGGCGGAGGCAGCGGGAACAATTGATAGGGACGGTGGGGTGAAAAGCAATTTGTTGGCTTTTTTTTGTCTTGTGACAGCCGAGCTCTGGACTCGATGGGGAGACCACCATGGAGACGATGGGGACTGATAGAGGGAAGTTGACTCGCCGTTTTCACGATACAAACAAACGTGCAAATGTCAGGTTCACGGGCCCCGACTTGCCTCGGTCAGGGCCGGAGGAGGCGGAGTGTCCGGCCGAGGCTCCCCCGGTGATCAGGAACCTTCGTCCGCCCGGGCCAACTCAGCGCTCAGCTCGGGCCTGCCTGCCCAAGAGAGTGTGAACAGACAGCAACTGCCAAAGATGGACCGACAAGAAAAAATTATTAGGGAAGGGGACCGCCGACTCGGCCTCAACCCCCTGACATTTCGTTGAGCGACTATACCCAGTTGGGAAAGCGGTCACGACTGCTGCCGCGACCCTGCTGGTCCGGATGTGCGTCATGCTGGTTCTCAACACTGCCGCTGGGCAGGAACACCCCGGCACCTTACCAAGGTAGAGTTGAGCTGACTGCGGATTTCAACTGCAATTGGTCGCAGCTTCCCTCATATAACGGGGATGAAACTGGGGTTACTCGCGGCGATAGTTGTGGTGGCAGGAGCAAACCGACACCAAAATGCAACAAAAGTAAGTGCGGTGGTGGGCGTTGGTGGATTCCCGGAAAGATTCAAAGACACTGTGACTGAAGTGGGCAACCAGGATAGCTGGAGACAGACAGGGGGAGGAAAGATGGAGGGGCAAAACCACATGCTGAGCTGCACCCTTTTTTTTTTTCTTTCTCTTTTCTGCCATCTGCTGCTCACTGCTAATCAATTGCTTTTGCTTCTTGCTGCTGCTGCCGCGCTTCTATTCGTGACCGCCGAGTGACCCTCCCCAGGACCCGTGAACCAAGACAAGACACGACACGCACGACACACACCGAAAGAAGAGCCGATGCCGATACCTGTCTGGACCCTCCCTTACCGTAGCTGTCTTACCTGAACTTCCCGACTTTACCCTTCCTCCACTTGACCTACCTTACCCTTGGGCCTTACCGTACCTCACCTTACGGATACTTCCTCCAAGGTCCCGGGCAGTACTTATTTAGATAACCTTCACCCCCTCCTTTTGGCGCGTTTCCTACCTTACCCTCTTGCTCCACTGTACCTCATGCTTTTCAGACTGCGTCCTGTTGTTTCCATCGCCAGAAGCAGCTTTCCCATACGACGATTCAACTCCACATCCACAATGGCTTCTCTCGGGGTAGAGAAGAAACACAAGGTGACCGTCGTGGGCTCCGGTAACTGGTGAGCCAGCATCTCTCATGCACCCCAATATCTCTTATCGCGAACCCCATAGCTTCCTTCCACATAGCTTCCACCGCATCGACCTGCTGAACAGATACTAACATGACCGAACCCAGGGGCTCAACCATTTCCAAGATCGTTGCCGAAAACACAAAGGCCTTCCCCGACCTGTTCGAAGAAGATGTGCACATGTGGGTGTACGAGGAGGATGTCACTCTCGACTCGACATCCCCTTACTACGATACCTCCCTCGGCGAGAAGCCCCAAAAGTTGACCACCGTCATCAACAAATACCACGAGAACACAAAATACCTGCCCGGTATCAAGCTCCCCCACAACATCATCGCGAACCCCTCCCTGCAGGACGCCGTCAAGGATTCCACCATCCTCATCTTCAATCTTCCCCACCAGTTTATCGGCAATGTCTGCAAGCAGCTCAACGGTCACATCCTGCCCTTTGCTCGCGGCATCTCCTGCATCAAGGGCGTCAACGTCTCCGACGACGGCGTCTCCCTTTTCTCTGAATGGATCGGTGACGGCCTCGGCATCTACTGCGGTGCCCTCTCCGGCGCCAACATTGCCTCCGAAATCGCCGCCGAGAAGTGGTCCGAGACCACCGTCGCCTACGACCCCCCGCCCATGGATAACTCGCGCGCCCCGACTCCGCGTGCCACCTCCCCGAACCCCAACGTCAACGGCGGCAACGGCCTCGCGCCCCTGACACCCGTTGACATGCAGCACAAGGACGCCCGCGGCCGCACCTCCAAGACGAAGCTCACCGCCGTACCCGCCGAGTACCCGCCCCTGGACCACCAGATCTTCAAGCACCTCTTCCACCGCCCCTACTTCCACGTCCGCATGGTCTCCGACGTCGCCGGTGTCTCTCTGGGCGGCGCCCTGAAGAACATTGTTGCGCTGGCTGCCGGCTTCGTCGACGGTCGCGGCTGGGGTGACAACGCCAAGGCCGCCATCATGCGCGTGGGTCTGTTGGAGATGGTTAACTTTGGAAAGGAATTCTTTGGTCAGACGGTGCACACGGGGACGTTCACCGAGGAGTCGGCCGGCGTGGCGGATTTGATTACCTCGTGCAGTGGTGGCAGAAACTTCAAGTGCGCCAGGATGGCCGTGGCCGAGGGGTTGAGCGTGCAAGAAATTGAGAAACGCGAGTTGAACGGTCAGCTGCTCCAGGGTACGAGCACGGCGCAGGAGGTCAACAGCTTTTTGAAGGCGAGGGGCCAGGAGAAGCACTACCCTCTCTTTACCGCCGTGCACGGCATTCTCGAGGGACGATACAGCGTCGACGATATCCCGACCTTAGTGTCTACTTCGGAGAACTGAGGTCTATGTGGTGGGAATCTGAGATCTTAAAAAAGGCATGTGGACAATGCGGAACATTATTGATCGTGGCGGAATGAGATCCAACGACACGTTGGCGTGTGGGTGTATGGGGTAGAGGGCCCGGAGTCTTTGGTTTTTGATTTTTGAAAGACGTATGTTGATATCCCTGGATCATTTACCGCAGTGGCATGGTGTGAAGGAACGGATTTAGACAGGTTAAGCAATGACACACATTGTTCTGGTCAATCTTGTGGTCCGTGATAGTGAAATTTTCCTTCGTCCTTTCCTTCATATACCCGTCCAAGTCCATTCCGGTCACCAGCCAGCAGGCGCCCGTCTAGGTCGACGGGTCAGGTCAAACTGGCTGGCTGGTGGAGTGGTTCATGGTCAACAAATGCAAATTCTCAACGCCGACCAGCCTACTCGACGACAGGCTTAGCGAGTACCCGAGTCCGAATCCCAGCATGAGCACCATAATTATCGCCAAGAGATGTAGCCACACCGGTGGTGAACTCTTTTTGTTTTTCCAATGTCTGGTCATATATCACTTTGGACCTACTCGTCGTTTTCTGATGGAGGAATATATATATAAGATGTAGTTAGATCCTATCAAACGTGATTCTCTGTGTATATCCCTGAAATACCATTCCAAGTACATTCTCAATCCATATTCTCAAGTAATCCCATCTTCTCCTCATCACCACAACCAGCACGTCCCCTCCACGACCTCCCCCTAACCCACCCCTTCTTCTCATCACCATCTTTCTCCTGCGTCCTCTCCCCATCCCCAAAAACAGGCCTCAACACAGCATCATACACCATCCAAAGCAAATTAAACACAACCCCCAACGTGACACCCAGCCAGACGGGCACTTTCCCCTCCTTATTCGCCACCTTTTTATTCAGCGCGAAAAACACCAACAACACGGGGAGGAAGAGCGCCTTGAGCAGCCACTGGCCGAGTTTCTGTCGCGACGAGGTCGGGGTGTAGGGAACGAGGGAGTTGAGCCAGCGCTGGTAGTCGTCGGGGAGCTCGTGCTCTGCCGCGCCGGAGGTGATGAGGTTCAGATACCGGGGGGACGGTTGCGCGTAGGTTGGATCGGGGCGGCGGGTGGGACGGAGGAAGCGGTAGTACCATTTTTTGCGGGGGTCTGTTGGGGTTTTGTCGTCGTCGTCGCCGTCGCCGCCGTCGTTGGTGTTGTGGTAGTTGTGGTAGACCGGAGTGATATTGTCAGGCTCCTCGGGCTCGGCGTCCGGGATGGACGGGGAAAAGAGCGTGTGGGCGAGGAACGGGCGGGGGATATCGATGGGCGGCTTCTCGGGGACGGAGACGCGGGGCGGGAGCGGGATGCAGGGGGTGAGGATGTCCTTGTAGGAGGAGCCGCCTCCTTCTGTCGCGACGATTGTGGCGTAGTCTTGGGGTGTGACTTCGTAGACTACGCCAAAGAGGCCCTTGTCCCAGCCCAGGTCTGGTGTCGTCGGTACGGTGTTGTTCTTCCTTTTGGTCTGTTTCAACTCGGCGGACGGAGGTGGTAGGGGCGGCACCGGCGGGAGCTTTGGTGGATCGCTCGGGTCCGGGAGGTTGGGGATCTTTCGAGGCGCCGAGTTGGCGAAGCAGGGTTCCGTGTAGGGTAGGCCGGGGAGGTCGAAGACGAGGGATAGGCCTGGGGCGGAGACGTTTACTTGGGAGATTGGGCGGATGCCGCGGGCGCCTAGGAAGGTTTCCGCGCTTAGGTTGGAGCCGTAGGCTAGGTAGAGGACTGATGTCTGTTCTGCTGCTGCAGCTGCTTCGACGGTAGTGGTGGCGGTGGAGGATCCATCATTGCTGGATGAGTCTGGAGAGACTGCCGCTGCTGCGAGACGGGAGAGGGATGTGCGCGGGATGCTCTTGATGGAAGAGTAAGACTTCTTTGAAGGGGCGGAGGATGTTGAGAGAGTGGAGAGGCCTTTTAGGCGGCGGAGGAGGCAGATTGGTTCTTGGGGGAGTGAGGTCGTCATAGGTTCCCGGGGTTTAACGTCGAGTTGCGACGGACGAGGTTGAATAGGTTGCAGAAAGCGAGGCTTGGTCGATCGCTTTTTTTCTGTCAAGAGCGCACCGGAGCTGGTGTGGACCAGGCGTTCTTGTAAGGGGACGAGCTCAAGCTCAAGCTCAAGATAAGAAGCAGGTAGCGAGACCGACAAAGCTGGGATGATGCCAGAAAAGTCTGAAGAGCGATGAAGATGGGATGTTGAAGCGGGAAGGAAAATGCTGAAACTGGTGAGTTGCACCAGGGTACTAGCTAGTTGTGGGTGGTGGGCGCGGGAGACTTTTTGTGTCGCCCCGGGTGTCTCTGACGTTCGGACTTTGGGTTTGGATGACGACGCTTGGAGCGAGGTTCCCGGCCTACAGTAAGGTACCTACTTAATACTGCCTTATCTTTAGCGTCAAGTAATTATCTTACCATTCGCTGCGGGCGTGCCGGGGGAGCGGCGGACGGAGAATGCGCGCGCGTCGGAGTTGGAGGGTTGGCTTATGTAAACCTGGGCGGCGGGATGCGGGATTGGTGGGGGTGAGCTGCGGAATCATTTATTTACAGACCATCGTTCAATAAGGTAAGGTAAGGTACCTAACTTACACCTATCAACGCGGTGGATGGGATTTGAAGCTATTCTGCCAATATGGTATACGCTGTGTTTTGAAGGCACTGTGCATAGGATCACTACCTCACATGAGACTGGAAATGCCGTTATTCTTGAATCTATCCCACCTACTCTGCGGATAATGTTCATATTGTTCTTGTTGATCTATCATGCGCCACTTTCTTCTCACTTTATACGTCAATGAAACCCTTGACCCTCAGACTGAGAGAGACAAATGCGGAACTCGAGTTGTCCGACTGTGCTCTCCAGTATTTCTCGTTGCGATTATACTAGAAGATATATCCCATGTGCGATGTGGGGAGCTTGTGGGACGTCTACAGACAACCAATTGTAACAAGATGGTGACATGTCTCTTTGTCCTTCCGGGCTTGGATGCAATTCGAGGGCATCACTTCCAGTGGGTAACCAAAAATTTTGCCTGCGAGGACGATATCTTGGTCTTGGTATCACTGTTTAATTCTTTTTTTATTTCTTTATTGGTTGACATGTGGCTACCCGCTGTTCGCGAATCCAAACCTTTGTTGATCCTACTCGATGCTCGCAGGGAATCGCTATCATAACTTGGTCATCGCTATTCAGAACCTTCTCTCGGGGTCAAGAAGGTTTCGAAAGTCAGTAACGAGCATCATATCATTGCCTTCATCATCGTCGCCCTCGACTTTAATCTGGTCCGTAGCATTCTCATCGCCATCCCCTGTCGCGAGTGCAGCCTGAGCCGCCGCCGGGACCCCGATACCGTTACCATTCCTGTGATCGCCATGGCCCCCGACAAGTTCGTCATCGCCCTCAACCGCCCGCGACACGGACGCGTACTTCTTCGGCACGAGGTACTTATCCATGGCGCCCGCCTGCTGCTGCCCGTTCCTCTTTGGCGTGGTGCCCTTTTCAAAGTAGAACCTCTGAATCACGTGTTGCGGGATGTTGGACTCGGGCTCCCAGGTCGGGTTCATGGACGAGGGCCAGTTGCCCTTCCACCGGACCTGGAAGAAGCGGCCTAGTTTCTTGCCGCTGCGGCGGGAGACGCGGTCTTCGAAGCCTTCGATGCGGAGGACTTCGTAGACTTGTTCGTCTTCTTCTTCTTCTTCTTCTTCTGCTTCGTCTTGTGTTGCTACTGGTGCTGCTGCCGCTCCGGTTTTCCGCGCAGTGTGAAGTTTAGTTGTGATGGGTTTGGATTTCGTGGCTGCGCTTTTGCTGCCTGTCGTCGTTGCAGGTGGTGCTGAGGCGGTTTGTGGTAGGGATGCTTGTTGTGATTCTCGTGACGTTGGTGCGATGTGTGGTTTTGGATTGGGTATCTTGGGTATTGGTATAGGCGTCGTAGAAATTGGTTGTTCTATTGACTGGACTGGTTGCGAGGGCGTCAGTTGGGAGTAGGAGGAGGAGGAGGATTTTGAGGCCGCGAGGGAGATCGTCCAGGGGGTCGTATTTTGTATCAAAGGCCTAGAGCCCGGCTTCGGTATTGGAGTGTGAGTCCAGCCTGTATCCGTGGCTGTCCCGTTCTGTGTCGTATTTAACGCCGGGGGCGCCGTCGCCGGCGGTGGCAGCATATTGCTCGCTTTCGGTGTGGGTGTTTGCACCTTTGGCGAGGATGACTGCTGGGGCGTGGAAGGGGGATCTCGTATTGAGAGGAGAGACCGCTTCGGCGGTTGCTGCGTCTTTGCTATCCGGGGGGCCGTGGGCGTGGATGTGTGGTTCGCAGAGGCCGGGGGCATCGGCGGGAAGATGGGCGTCTCCCGGGGTCGGCCACTACTACCCTGGAGACCCGGCGCTGGCGGTTGGGGCAACGGCGGTAGCGCCGGTGAGCTTGTGGCTCCTCTGGACGAGTCAAAGGGCGTACTCCGGCTACTGGTGTCAGTCTCGATTCCCGGCATGAACCGCGAGAGCGCGGGTCTCGGTGACCGGGTCTTCTGTTTCTTGCTCGGGGGTTCTAATAAGGCCGCGGGTAGACTGCTCTGTTCGCCAGAGTCGTATGAGTCCTCTGTCAGGAGCAAAGGTGTTGATGTCCCGGTCCCATTAAGCTGCCTGAAGATGGCCTCATCGTCGGCCTCATCGTCGACCGCTTCTTCCATCTCGACGTCCATGTCCCCCTCCGTATCCAGCTCCCTGAAGTCGTCCGTCAAGGCGCTCTTGGACGGTGTAGAAAGCGAAGGCGCATTCTTCCGCGGCCTGCCCCGTTTCTTCTTCTCTCCGTCCGCGGCCGTGGCGGGTGGTGGTGTCCTCAACTCCTCCGCCACTACATGCTTCCTCTTCCGGCCCCTCTTGGCCCCCTTTCCACCCTTCTCGCTCGGTACCGCGACGCCGCTCTCCCGCGCCACAGCCTCCTCAACAGCACGCACATTCTCCGCCTCCTCTAGCCTGCGCTCCTCCTCGTCCCGCTCCTCAGCTCTTGCAGCGCACCACTCCTCGTACGCCATGGGCGAGACGTAGTCGCATATCCGCTCCGCGTCGACCACGACCCGCGCGGCCGGCAGGTCAGTCCATCCCACCACGTACTGAAGACGCTTCTTACCGTCGTCAGAGAGCGCGGGCGGGACAAAGAACTCGTCGCGGATGTACGCCGTCGAGTCGCGGGGAGGAGCGAGGGTTATCGGGCGCAGAGGGGGGCCGGAGCCACGTTCATAGCGGCGGTAGGTCGGTAGGTCTTCGAGGACTACGGCGAGCTTGCGCAATTCGGGATGGGAGTTCTTTCGGGACGTCTGGGGCTGCCGGGTCGAGGCTGAGGATACGGAAGATGTGATGTTGGTAGTGGCGGCGCCGTTGCTGGTGTCGGCCGGGGTGGGGGTTTGACCACCGAACCAGATGAGTTTCTTTGAAGGTCGCGACATGGTTTTCTTACTCCTTTCGGAGAAGTCCACCATGTCACGCCTGGCACCTTTTTCGCAGTTTCGTTGGACGAAGCGGCGTTGCGACAGGCTGAGGAAGGCTTCGGTGGGATCATCCGTCGTCTAAGGTAGGTACTTGTGGTTTGGGAATCGGCGTTCGTGTTCGTCTCGTGTCGTGTCGCGATTTCCGCCCGTAAAGACAACGCTTTTATTCTCGACAACGCCGAGGGCTAGAGACGTCAGAAAAATACAATAAGAATGAAAGAATCCCATTCATACCAGGAAATTTTCGTACTTGACTTTTGGACGTGGTTTTGCTGATGCGTCTGCTGTCTTTCGTGGTAGCGGCGCCGATTGGGTGGGATAGGGAGGAAACTTAGAAGCCTGAGATCTTTAATTAGCCTTTTCTCCACCAGTACGGCCACTAAGAGTTTCAAAGCTTGTCAGATTGGACATGATTAGCAGGAGCTCAATACCCTTCTTTTATTGAGTGATAAACTTTTTAAAATTATTATAAAATTCTTGATATCTTTTTAAAACGTTAAAAACTAAACATTTTTTTTATATTTAAAATAAGCAAAATAACATCCAAGCTAATTAGTATATAAGAAATATAATATCTAACTTATACTTATTAAGTTTGACACTAAGTACTTATAATTAATTGAGCGTGATGCTATATTACCTAAGGCACCGAGTACCCTTGGATTTCAGGATCATGCGATCCGGGGAAGCAGGGGCAGCGGAAGGGCCCGTGCAGAAGCTGCGGCTGGGCGTCTACCGGCACGCTGCGCAGGGCGTCAAATCTTTGGTGGGCCGAGCTTGACCTCATCGCGAGGAGCACAAAGCTCCATCCACCACATCCCAGCTTCGGTTTCCATTTCTTTCTTCGCAAACCAAGCCAAACCACCAAAAAGAAAATCTCCCCTCCACCCCCGCGCGCACCGCAACGTGCATGTTCACGATCTCTCGACACCACTAAAACATTTCGCCAAGGCCTCGCAAATATGCTGACGCCCACGAGCACCTTCGCCCTCCGCCTCGCCGGCCAGGGCGCCGCCCGCGCATCGATTGCCTCTTCCATCGCCCGCACCACCGCATGCCCGTACTCGACCGCCTCCATGAAGCAGCACCAAGCCTCTGCCCGCCCAATTGGCCTCGCCTCGACAGCCGGCCCGATCGCCCGAACCAGTGCCGCCTTCGCCGCATCGCCTTCGTCCTCCATCGTCGCCCGCGTCGTCCGCCAACCCTGCTCCCAGCGCTGCAACGCTACCGCTACCGCCTCCGCCGCGGCGCAACAAAAGTCCGCCCCTGCGCCGGGGGACAAGCTGGACTGGGAGACCTTCTTCCAGCTCCGCAAGTCCCGTAGAAGGTGGCAGCTCGGCTTCAGCGTCATTTCTGGGTTGGGATCCTTTGTTGGCGGAGCTGGCATCTTGGCTACTGGCATTGCGGACCCGCTGGTGACACAGATTCCTCTGGATCCTTTTATTACGATGGGTCTCATGACGATGGGCTTCGGCGCTCTTGGATGGCTTATTGGACCTAGCGTTGGTTCTCTGGTGTTCTACACGCTGAACAAGAGGTGGAAGACTCAGATGACGGTGGTAAGTGATCCTCCACTGCGTTCTGGATGACAAGGACTTTTGCTAACGTGAATCCCTGATGCAGAAGGAGAAGGAATTCTTTGCTCGCATCAAGAAGAACCGCGTTGACCCCTCTGTCTCTTCTGTTGGTAACCCTGGTAAGTACACTTTGCAACCAGGAGTCAAACTCCCATGTGCTAATCTCTGCCAGTCCCCGATTTCTACGGCGAGAAAATCTCAAGCGTCAAGGGTTACCGTCAATGGCTCAAGGACCAGCGAGCGTTCAACAAGAAGCGTGTCAGCTTCGTGTAGAGTACCACCACAACGACCACCCACCATGGCTCTCTGCCAAGGACGTTTCTTTAGGATTAATCAGGATCATGGCTAGCGGGCGAAGGCCGCCCTCCTCTCTTTGTAGCAATAGGGGTATCGCGTAGGAAAAGTATGTATCATGACGACCCAGCCCCCCTCGTCAGAACAAATTCAACTTCTTTATATCCAAATGTTTTTTCTGCTGTCGTTCGCCCCGTTTCCATCTCAGGTAAAAGGCAACGTTGGGTCCACGTCTTTCTTCCACGCCCGCATACCACCCTCAATGTCCCCAATGAATCTTTTGCCATTTTTATCCAGCGCCAGATCTTTCAGACGCTTCGCTGCAAGCTGTGAGTCGTTGCCGACCCTACAAACAAGGTAAATGGGCGAATCCTCTGGGAAATCCGACGGCAGCCACTCAGGTTGAGGCTGAACTCCCTCGCTTGACGGCTGCGTCTCCTTCATGAACTTTGCGATTGGTACGCTGACAGCGCCGTCGATGCTACAAATGTCAAAGTTTTCGCGCTCTCGAACGTCCAGCAAAAGATGCCGGCCGCCCTTGTCCTTGGACACACGCTCGTACTCGGTCGCAGAAATACGCTCCTCGGGAGCGAGAACACTAACCGGCGCAGTAACGCCGCAGAAAGACACATAGTCAAGCGATCCCGACCGCAGAGTCTCAAGAGACAGCGTCGACGCTGCAGAGCAAGCGAAGCAATCCTTCCTCCGGCCCCGCATACGGACAGATCTAAACTGCCCCGACGTCGCGGCGCCCGAAAAGATGAGAAGCGAAGGCGGAGCCGCAGTCGCGCTCTTGTCGGTGACATCCGGATCGACCGCGCCCAAGGCAACGAGCTTAATCGCCTCAAGAGCCTGCAGCACGCCCATGACGCCGACCACGGGCCCGAGAATGCCGCCCTCGCCGCAGCTGACGACGCTGTCGGGCGGCGGCGGCTTGGGGAACACGCAGCGGTAGCAGGGTCCTCCTGCGCCATCCAGAGTGCCCTGCGGCGTGGCGGGCGAGTTGAGGATGATGAGCTGGCCGTCTGTGCGGAAGGCCGAGGCGGAGACGAGGGGTTTCTGGAGGAGGACGCAGATGTCGGAGATGAGGTAGCGGGAGGTTGGGTGGTCGGTGCAGTCGAGGACGAGGTCGTACTGCGATACGATTTCTTCGGCGTTGGTGGGTGTTAGGTGCGTTTTGTGTGGACGGTATGTTACTAGTGGGTTGAGGCTGGGAGGGGTGTGTTAAGTGTGAGCTTTCGTAGAGATGTGGTTTGAGGAAAGGGGGGTGGGTTTGCGTACCTCTTTAGGTATGTGATTGCGCTTTCGACTTTTGAGATGCCGATTCTGTCAGTCGAGTGGGCGACTTGGCGGTGGAGGTTGGAGACCTCGACGACGTCGCCGTCGACGAGGCCGATGGTGCCGGCCCCTGCTCCGGCGATGTAGGCCGCTGCGGGGCATCCTAGACCCCCGGCGCCAATGATGAGGATCTTGGACTTTTTCAGTCTTAATTGACCTGGTGGTCTCGTTTCAGTGGAAAGGTTTCGCAAGAAAAGTGTCATTGACAAAACTGACCTTTGACGCCTACTTGCGGTATGATGAGCTGTCGTCCATATCTCTCATAATCCTCGGGTTGCAGGGGCCATTTCCAGGGTTGAGATGATGGTGACGGTGATGCTTCCCCCTGTGCCTCCTTCTCTGCCTTGGCTAGCTGTCCCTTGAGGTCCCTTAGATTGAGCTCCGCCTCTGCGACTTTGCGTCGCAGCTCCTCGACATCGCCCATAGTTGCGTCGGTCTGCACGGCGTGCGGTGTACGTGAGAATCGATGACTCCCCGAGCGCGGAATTTGTGAGCGGCGGGGCGGACCTCTATGAAATGTCGGAGGTTCCGCCCCCGATCTCCGACCCCGCGATTCCAAAAGACCCACATCGCTAGAATTGTCTTCGGCCCCACCACGAATTTTTGATGGAAGCTTTGGGTCCAGTGCGTCCTCAAACTTTACCAGCTACTTGCATGCCACTTTATTCCAGATCCGACTTCAAACTCGTGTCTTTCAACCCTACAACTCTCTAGAACCGCCAATAAGCCACCCCAGTCAAGATGGTAATTGCAATTTCATTCCTCATTCTCCCCGCTCCCCAGAAATACCAAAAGCTAACGCCCCCCAAGGCGCCCACAGCACCAACAAAAGCCCTCTCCGCCCGCGAAAAGCGCATGGCCCGCATCCGCGGCGACATCCACCCCCTCGCGCCGCACAAGACCCTCCGCCCCGAAGCCCAAGTCGACGACGGCTTCCTCACAAACAAGAAAGATAAGCGAACGATGAAACACAGCGCCTTCCTCAGCAAAGTCGCCAAGACCGCGCCCGGCAGCGGCAAGACCCTGAAGCGCCGGAGACCGAACAAGAAGCTCGTCGCGACCATGGAGTCGCTCGCCGACGCGCTTCCCGAGCTGGAGGAGGGCGCGCAGACGCTGGATCAGCTGCGCGAGGGGAAGGTTAGGCATAAGAGTCTTAAGAGTAGGCCGGGCGCGCTGAAAAGGAAGGAGAAGGTTGTCAAGGCGGAGGTGGCGAGGTTTGGGGCTAGTATGGCGGCTTTGGCTTCCGTGCCGGCGTCGAATGCTGGCGCGGCGAATGCTGGTGCGATGGCGGTTGAGGAGACGGGAGCGCAGGAGACGACGCCCAGTGCTACTTCGAATCGGTGGGCTGCGTTGAGGAAGCATATTTCGAGCACGATGGAGCAGAACCCTGCTTTCAGCACATAAGATTTGATGGTGGTTTATAGACTACTATCATCTGCAGAGAGGGATATCCGACACATACGATCGATACAGCGGCTGAGAGCATGGCACATCGGAGCATGGGTATTTGCGTCGACGAAGGGGGGGGCCTGAGACTTCCTGACGGTTCCGCGGCACGTTTGGGGCTTGCAGCCACAGTAGACGGTCTCTCTTTCAGAGGATTTCTGATGTCGAAGATATGGTCGCCTCTCCCAACGGACCTTGACGAGGGTATCTTTCTAAGACGCAAAGGAAGCCCCCAGAGGCTTACATTTCTCGGGCGAAAAGTCAAGAGCGGCTCAAGGATCATGCAACCCTGGATTGCGGATGCACGGGAAGTCGGCAACAAGTCCTGATCGTTCCCATATTTCATTTGCACGATGGCCGCGATAGTGTCTCCGACGGTATAGAGTTGTCAGAGCCAGCAAGGCTCTACATCATGCAAAGCGAGTCAAGTATACGTATGCTGACGGAAGGGGTTCACGAAACTGATGGTATCCCTGGGCTTCAGTTGGTTCAACGCTATCTAAGGATTTCCAGGCTGTAAAACGGTATCAGAATGATAGCTTCTTGAGGGCACAGGGACGTCGTTAAAGGGGTTGGGCATTGTGAAGAATTGATGAGGGGCAAACGAGTAGCCCAAGGTGGACAGACTATTGACCTCAATGCGCCTTAGTGATGGGAATTACGCCTATATCAAAAGAGATATCCGACAGAATTCATTTGGCGGGATCCTTGAATTTGCCTGAAGATGACATCCGCCAGAGATTGCATTTGCCATTAGTTGCATTGTTTACTCTAACAGGGATACCAGCCTAGCGTTTGAAGAACAGCAAATCAAAAAAGATCCCAATGGCGATCTTGTGAGCCGACGTCATTTTGCCCAACGTCAAGGGTGCAAACGCGTCGCAATGAGATGTTCCGTGTGGTAAGAAGAAAACAGAAGTAAACAAACAGCTCGTCAGGCTAGGATGCGCTGGGTGTCTCCAACGGTCTGGAGTGGTCCATGGAGGAGTCTTGTGGACATCTTGGCAGGTTTGACGAAGGGGTGATGTCAGTTCAGGTCCAGGCATGGCGGTTCTAGACAATCTCATCGCCAATCAGCTGTTCTTTGGCAGCATGGCTTGCTCAGTTTGCACAAAGTTCTAGGAGTTTGGGGAGTGCGCTTGTGAAGTTCTTCATGGTCTTCATTTGGGGCAGGTGCGTCCTTTCCTCGTCATATTATGCGGTCGGCAACAGCGATCTACAGGAGGGGAAGGTTCGTTTGCCTAGAATCAACGTCACGAGGAAGGAACTGTGCAGCTGAGCAGGCAACAACTGCACCTTCTCATTATTGAGCCGCTCCTTCACATTAAATTCATTTCTCCTGCAGTTCATATAAATCCTCTTGAACCTCGTCTCTTGAGTCTCAGTTCTCCATTCCTCCATCACACCCACGAACAGTTACTTCCCATCTCGCATCTCACAAGTCCAAACCAAACCACTTACACAGATTCCATACCACAATTCAGCAAGATGGCCGACACCAACCCCGGAAACTTTGCCAACCGGTATGCACCCGCATCTACACATCTCGTTTTGGCTCTTGAGTGATTGCTAACCGGATAAAGTCCCACTGAAGAGGTTCGCGAGATCGCAGCAAAGGGCGGTCATGCCAGCCACGGTGGTGGCATCTCACAGGAAGTACCGAGCGGCAACACAAACCCTGGTAACTTTGCAAACCGGTATGTTCTTCCCTCCGTTAGTTACATAATCTTATGGTATCATACATCTAACGCTCTTCAACAGCCCCACGGAGGAGGTTCGTGAGATTGCGGCCAAGGGAGGTCACGCCAGCCACGGCGGCGGAATCGAGGCCGAGACCCACTCGGGCACCGGCAACACCAACCCCGGCAACTTTGCCAACCGGTAAGCTGGCTTCATACATTTCTGTCCAGTGTCCCGGTACCCGGTTCCTTCACATATGAAGCTTAACTCTACGTTACACCTCACATATGCTTGTCTCGTATGGGATGATCACTGACGCGACCGCAGACCCACGGAGGAGGTTCAAGAAATCGCAGCCAAGGGCGGCCACGCAAGCCACACGGGCGGTTTCGCCAGCATGGACGCCGACAAGCTGCGCGAAGTTGCCTCCGAGGGTGGCAAGGCGTCGTCCGGCTCCTTTGAGCCCGGCTCAGAGAGAGCGCGCGAGGCGGGACGCAAGGGAGGTCTCTCAGGTGGATCGGACTGAGATGTTTATTATCCCAAGGTAGCCGCACTGCGAGCTCTCTTCACACGGTTTATTTGAGCGCAACAAGCGGGTGTGGGCGAGAGGACGAACCAACGACTGTACGATATCCGGAACGCAAAAGGATGGAACATGAGACATGATTGATGGGCGAGAAAGATAGGATCGCCTCCACGACAGGGTCTACCCAAGCTGTCCCTAAGGAAATACCAATTGAGATTCTAGAATTCTAGAATTCTGACCAAAGACGTTGCTGAGTGCCCATTGCATTGCCCTGTCAGGCGTTTCGTCCCACTTCCGGGCCATGAGCGGCTGGCTCCGAGGTTTTGCGTGCTCTCGGCGCCTCCCTTTTTTCTCTCACTCTCTCGGACCCCCACCGTATTAATCCCCGGATGGTCGAAGAAGGTGGCAGGGAAGTGCAAAAACGCACGATTTCCAAAGTCAATTATTCGAGGACCCCCTCGAAATTTTCTCAACAAGATTGAACCTACCCACCTTGTTCCGAGATGAGTGTGCTGTGAGTACTTTGCTGAGATGCATGGAGTCCTTCCTTTCCCAAACCGAATCGACCGACCCTTTGGCTAGGAAATTCTCCAGCGGCACCCCATGTCCATCCGCCTGCCCTGCGAGTGGGTTGGCAGACCGACTTGGCGCTGTGGATCGGGGGAGGGCCTGGGGGGGCAAGCCACGTTCGGCAGACGCCGATGCAAGTGACGAGCGTTTTCGTTTCCCTATACCCCGCCTGCGCTTTTCTACATACCTCTCGATGGTTTGACGTACATAGGTACTGCGGATGAAGGGTCCACTACACCAGTGAGGGACTACCTACCTTGGCTTCGTCACTGAAGCCGCGAGCGTTTTTGTGTGACTCGATCTGTCGGCGTAAGCAAGGCACTTTGCGCCAAAGTGCGTTCTCTACGGTAAAGATCTTGGGCTAGGCAAAAAAAGTATCGAGCGGCGTATCTAGGCTCAGACGGGAATGGCTCGTCGTGCGTTTGATGACATTTTGGGGCCTGGCGTTTTTCGTGACTTTTGTCCAAAAAAGGGTTTGCGGCGGGAAGTGCGCCAGGTGGGTGGTATCGCAGAATTTCAGCAGCATCAATGATTGCCGCAGCACGGTGACGTAGACGAGGTTGAAACTTGGCCGCCCTTTTCTTTTCTCTTGTTCATTTGCCTGTGCCTTGCCGAGTCTTTAGTGCTTTCATTTTGTCATGGGATCGCGAGGAGACTGCAAGATGGCTAGACACTCATCCACTTACTCAGGTTCAAGTAACAATGTCACTTACAGTCTACACCACTAAACTTACTGCTCCCCATAGGTAGAAGAGGAAAGTGAGGGGGGAAAGAGGGAGGGTCTGTAAGTGAGACTTGACTGTGAGAGAAGGTTTTTCTCAGTTAGAGGCTTTAGCCATTGGGGGGCTCCCACCCCCCTCTTCCTTCTCCAATGGTGACTCCTCCCTTCACCGTCTCAATTCATTTGTCACAAGCAGGTGGCAGGCACTAGGTAGAGGTGATGATGGCGTTCTCTGGTGGGAATCGAAAACAGAATCGGGGGAGGAGCAGCGGCACTACGTACATAGAGTTTCTCCATACTCCAGATCTTGGAGCCCTTTCTTTTTTTTCTCCTCGCGTACCTTACCTTACCTTGATTACAGTGGCATCCTGCCCATCCCTGTCTTTTCGGGGAGGTAGTGAGAGGTAAGGTAGGTAGGTCTTGCAGATGATCGGCCATTCAGACTAGCACGTTTCGTTTTTTTTTTTTTTGTTCCCTTTGG